AGGGGTTTAGTCTTGAATGAACCTTGCACCAAAATAGGCTCAAACAAATTTTCATCTAATAGATTATTCAAATGATACAATCCAACTATAAATTAACTTTAATTTTACTAATCCTTAATTGGAAATTGCTGCATTAAGACTCCATTCTAATAAAAAGAATTACTCGTATTATTTATATTTAGGTAATTTGGAATGGTTCTCAGAATTCTGCCTTCTTCAATATTTTGATTTAAATATTAGAATTTATTAATTCTAACTTTAATAAGGTAACTTATCTAACTATCACTCACAAGAATTATTGCATTGTAGTAATATAATTAAATGATTAAGATCTATAGATATACATTTGATTAATCTGGCATACAAATTGATTATTGATTGCAATAATATATGTTTTCAACAACATTACCTTGTAATTTTATGCTTTTATCATAAATAGACATAATTGTATAATTTATATTGTTGGACCAAACATAGAAAATAAGTATTTATTATGTATAATTATCTTCAAGCGAGTTCGGTTGTATTAATTAAAGAGAGAAATCATTACAGCCATTAGATAGATTTTAAAAGGTGTTGTTGGACTAATTAAACCAATACAATTCTTATATTGTCTTTTGAAAGGAGCCTTAAATGAATAATTAATTTAAAATGTTTCCTATTTTTGTAATACTAACAAGAGTTTAAGGTAGTTATGTAGCATTCAGATTAATTATCTCACCATCAGCATTTAATAGTAAAACTTAGTAAATATTATGAAGTACTATTTTGACAAATGGAAAATAAGTTATATTTATATGCATGTTGATTTTAAACACTCACTCAAGTTTAGATATTCATAATTTAAGTTAAATTTATTGTCTAAATCACTAGTTATAGTTTAAATGTAAGAGCAATTCTGTAAAGCAAAAAATTCGTTGTTTATTGAAGTGATTAAGGAGTAATTCTGGAAATTTAAAATTTTAGTAGAATTATATGATAATGGAGTTAATTTGCAATATTAGGCTTCCTCATTTTTTTGATCAATGTTTATGATTTAGCAACATGAGACTTATCTATCAAGAATTAAATTCATCGGATATGTGAAATTCTTAGATTCAGGGATTATGTAATCTTGAGTTAGTTGGATTGAGATGTTACTTTAATTCTGAAATACTGTGAAATTTGAATATGAAGTAATACTTTGATTAGGAGTCTAATAAGAGGATGTTTCATTTTATGCTGAAGTTACTGTAAAGTTGTAAATAAATAATGGGTAGCTTATTGAATTGTTAAATTCATAATTGTACTCTTAAGAAGTTAGACTAAAGCCTTAAACCACAAGAAGAAAATAAACATTGCTATTAGAGATTACTATTGATTTTGTCTCTTACTGCTTTAGACTTAAATAAAAAGATTCACTACATTGTATTGGGGATGTCAATTATAACATGTAATATAAACTCATATGATATGGTAATTAAGGATTATACACATAAACAGTGTAATTACTAAAATTAACATAAAAGAACAAATTATCAGATTAGATTATTATGTTATTATCGAATTATACCCATTAAAGATGTGTTTAATAATAGTAATTTGGTAAATTTTCCACATTCCAAACTGAGAAGCAAATATTCTGTCCTTTATTGCAGGTATATGATAATATCAATAATTAGTTTACTAAATTTATCTATTTGATTTTGAAGTCAACTTGAATCAAGGATATTGGTATTGGAAAACAATTTTAGTCTATTGAAAAGATGATGACTTCATTAATATTGTTTATATATAATAATGATGATTATAATTGTGCATTTACAGCAATTTATATAGGATTAAATTGAATGTTTTCGAATAAATTATTAATTGACTCTTAATTTAAAGAAAAGGTATTTGTAAAATTTAATGTCATTATGTTAATTTCTTGGTTTAAAATTAGAATTATAATACTATTATAAGTAATTACAAAATCCTAGAATTATTAATCAAAAGTATAATTAGACAAAGTAATGTCATAAATATTACTATTATTCTAAGATTAAAACAAATAAATTGTATCATTAGTATTTAGTCCACTTATAATCATCGTAGGTTCAATGCTATAAGCAAGTTTTAAAGACTTTGCATTTACAGATATGTTAATAGAAGTCAAAGTAGTAAAGTAGTAGGAATTATTTTAATTACTGTAATAACAATACACAAAATTTAGTGTCTCATTGTCATATCCTATTAAATATTATTTTTCAACAAAAGGATAATTTATCGAAAATATTTATGCCAAATGATAATTTTAGATGACTTTTCCTACATTTTAAAAAGTAATTTTTTAAAGATAAAAATAGGGTTCATTTTGGTTTTATGCGTAATGTAATAATTATCCTGAAAAACTATTGAAATAATTATAGGCTGAGTAATTAAGTGAAGTCTAATATTATGGATAGTCTTAATTAAACATTACATAGATATTAGTATCATTCTCAGGTAATACTTAGAGATAAAAATTAGAGTAGGTATAAGTGCAATTTCCTTATTGTAGACTTTTGCATATCAATTTAAAGGTATAGTTATTACCTGCAACTTATAAATTAGTTAAATTTACTTATATGATTGGACGTGTAATTTTATAAACAATTATATCTGAATTAAATGAAAATAATTCATTATCTTGATTGAAATATAATAGAGAATTGTTTGAATGATTAAGACGATATGAAAAATGTTCTTTTGTTTTTTATTATGAAATCATTATTGTATCCAAGGATTGATAAACTATAAACTATTCACTTTAGAGCATCTTTTAAATGGGCTAGCCAGATTAAGTTGGTATCCCAATACCAATCTTTATTATGATCTTCTCACATCCCAATAATGGAGCTGTCATTGACTTTGAATGGTACAGATATGATAATTATATTTGGTCACATTAAGAATAAGTCCATATGTTATAAAAAGCACTGATAGCATTGAAATTATTCATACTTGACTAACTAAATTGATATTGAATATAATATTGAGAATCTGGAGAAATTTATAATTAGTAAATCTCTGAACTAGTAATTGCATAAATATTAGGACTAATTGTATTTGGTATATCAAAATCCACAAATTAATTATTTAAACTGCTTGAATTTTAAAATTATGATGTAAGTAGAGAAATTATTGAATATTTCTTAAAATATTAGGCATATACTATAAAAGCATTTGTTCCATTTACAATAGATTATATTTTCGTTGAAGTTGGTACAGTTGATTATATTTTATAAGCAATGATTTACTATCCATCAATAAATTGAATCAAAAAGAATTACTTGTTCTAATAGCAATCTACTAAAATAGCGAAATTTTCAGACAAATTGATGTTAAAACAGTTAAATGAAGCATCAATCGTCAAAGATTCCCCTACTTATTGAAATTTTGAATTCTTCCATTGATATAAGGTTATTTCATTTTATTTGGCCAAAGTACTAAAATGTGTATAATTTGAAGACATTGATATAAATTCTATAATAATATTCTTAATATTATACGATTCCCTTTTTCTCTTTATATTTCTTCGCATTAATTCAATAATTTAACATTTGGAATTTAAGGGTGCAGTTTACATGTTAATTATGGCTCCTTAAGGTAGCTCAAATAAAATTCATAATTTTCTCCTATTGTTGGGAACATGGAAATTTCTTATTCATTTGTGAATTGAATATCCGGATTAAATCCCACTACACTGATCACAAATACGATTATAAACATCAAATATAAAATATTAATGAAATTAAATATTGTTTAAAATTCCTTAGATATATTAAATTTCTAATTGTTTTAGATATATGTATTAACATAAACTTTATTCTGAATAAAAAAGATTTTGAATCAAAAAAACCTGCTATTGATCAAAGTTCAGTGTATTATATAAAGGCTATCTTTGTATTTTTGATTGTTATACTAAATAATAATAGATTTAAGTTAATATCCTGTAATACTTTTGAATTCAGTTTAATCCATCATTGTATAATAATTTAATTTATTGCAAGTTCAAAATTAAAATTACTATTAGCAAATTATATGAGGAAATAAATTCAATTTAGCCCAGAATATATTAACACTTAAGAAATATTCAATTCTCTTATTTTGCTCCAAGGAATATCGATTGACTCAATATTATTTACAATATTATTATTAAAATTATAGATATATGGGATTTATAATTAAATATGCCAAAATGCTGATCAATTCAGTTACAAAGATTTTCTATTAGGCGATTATTATGATCTTATCTTAATTTCCTCAGCTAAAATGAAAATTTATTATTATCCTTCAATTTTCCATTTCTAATCAATAATAAACTAAAAATTTCTCACTTTAATTTCCCTTATTTTTCTCTATTAATTTGATATCAGGCTGATAACTATAATTTTAGATTCCTATCAAATCAAATGAAATCCTCTATTTATTAGTTTGCATTGCTATCTAAGTTAATTGAATTAGTTGTTTCAGCTTAAATTTATAGATGTTGCAACAGTAAAAATGAATAGTAATTATATATAATTTGTTTTGAAGTAATTGCGAATCTTCTTCATTTTCTTTGAATATCAATACCAACTTCAAGATCTTTTATGAAATATTTCAATAGCATTAATATATTTTCAAATTAAAGATATAGTTTATAAAATATTTTGTATAAAAATTAATTTATTTTAGATTCTCTAAAGGGTTGTATTGATGAGAGAAAATCATAATGCATTAGCTTTGAGATGAAATATAGATTGTTGTTTCTTTAAATAAAAGACGGATTTATTAAACCTCTTAAGGACAATTAACACAGAAACTACGGATAAAGACAATTGATAATTCAAGTCCTTTATATGATATTAGGAAGTGGAGGATTGATTTCCTTTTTAGATATATTTGGGATATAAAATAATAATTATTAAATTGATATAATTTAGTGATGTAATGGAAACTCTTTTAAATTTTAGCTCTGATTCTTTTCTTTAATATGTCAATAATTGCCAATTAATATTGTTTATAAAGATAAGCTAAAATGAAATCAATTATAAGGGGTAATAATAAAAAAGTACTCCATATTCAAAATGGAGCCTTAAAATCATCCAAATCATCGAATAAAAAAAAAGGAGGAAATAATGGAATCAGCCCTAAGGATGCAGTAAAAAAAACCAGTAAAAACCAAAGGTGTAAAAAAGGATAACCAACCCCCAAAGTCACCAAAAAAAAGCATGAATCAAACACCCTAAAAAACAGGGTTTGGGATGGAGATAA